ACAATTGAAGCGGGTATTATCAGGTCATGCTCTCAAAATTAAATAAATACATAAAAGAAATTCCTCTTTTCTTTCTCCGTCTCGATTTTTGAACAATGACGACTTTAAACATATAAACAAAACACCTTTTTCTCATTCAGGCTTTAGCAACAAGTAAAGACAGATAATTGCAAATGAGTATCCTTCAATTGAAGGACACAACACTTTGCTTGATACGATGAAGCCAAGAAAAAAAAACAAACTCGGGCCACGTAATTCAAGCAAGAAAAAGAATAAGGTTACCCAAATCCCTAATCTAAACACCCAAATTTCTCAATTTTAGAAAGAACCGAAATTGAGCATTCAAAGCAACAACAAAAAGTTAAGCTGGTCATCAAATTCCACAGACCGTAACGAAAATGCAACTAGCCTACCAATAATTCATTTGAAATTGCCCAAATTCAACACATTTCGACCACAAATTCACAAATCCCACAACAAAATAACTTTTTGTAACCTTGTAGGGGTCGACGGTTTTGGCTTCCAATTTCATGCTTGCTAGGAAACAAAGAGAGGCCACGATGATGACCCGCGTGGAGACTAAACGGGTCCTCATATCCGAATCCAAATACTTCGCAGAGGAAATTTGAAATAAAAAACGGGAACTTCATGAATAGCCTGAGATCACAGTGACGTTTTGCTTTATAAACAGAGTTCGCGGGAGAGAAAATCTAGATGCTTCGAGGTTAGAAGGAAATTAAGAACACGTGTCATTGTGATGTGTCACCACGCATGTTGGCCAATGAGAGTTCAGAATTTCTATTTCTGATGTCATATATATGAATTATAATCTATAACAATTTAACATAATGTTATAGTGATTTTATGTGTGTTAACCAATGTTTTAGTTTTTATTATTAATAATCATCTGTAAGAATAAAAAAAATCATGATATAATTATAGCAGTTAATATAATTAAAACATTTTATAACTATTATTACAGATATTTTATTATAATTTAAATTAAATTTATTTTCAAATTGCAGTTTACATTTTCAAATGTCAATTTCTCTTAGTTTAAAATACGATAACTTTATTGTAAAATTATTAAATAATATATATAGAGAGAGTAATAGAGTCCAACAAATATTTAAAATATTCCAACAAATAATGTTTATATACATTACATTACATCACATTAATCAATTTGAGAAGCTGCTTTACCCTATAATCGAAAATAATTAAATAATATAAAATTAACCTACTTCTAAAAACAATAATGATTTTTATACTCAATGTTTAATTAATATGTCTGTCATTTATTTTCCAACATTTTATTATCTTTTAATTGACATTTTTTAGTGATCTAGTTTATATTTATTGGTATATTCGTATATTACCACGTAACATTTATAAAATCAGCATATGGCATTCTTAAATTGATAACGTTCATAACTAAATATATTAATTAAATGTTTACGTTATTCTGATTTGTCAGTTTGAAACTTTAAAAGGTTCCTTAATTTAAAATATATATATATATATATATATATATATATATATATTGGATTTGTTCATGTGATACAGTATAATTTTTTTTTTTAATCTTGCATTCATAATTTTCTATGTAACAACTATCTTGCTATCCACTAACGTATTGTAGTGTTTTTGGGGCTGGCTGCTCCATGCCTTTGATATAGCTGACTACAGGCTCAGCAATGGGTTATGTATCATAAAACAATGAAAAGCTTAACCCCATGCACCCTTTTACTGCCTTTTCTCATTTTTAATCTTTTTTGCAAGCTTTGACTTTTTTGAGTAATCTTTGGCCAAAACTCACTGAATAGTTTTGAATGGCTTAACCATCAATGTTTGCAGATATAAATGTTATCCTGTTTTGCTTTTCCTTCATAGTTTTAATATGGTTCTCATTGTAAGGTTCTCTTACAGAAGGATAATAGGATCACTTCTTATTTTTTACTACGTGATTTGAAGTTCTCATTCTACAGGAGATCAACTGAAATTTCCCTGGTTATTCGGCAAACCATGGAAGCATCTATATTGACACATCTATTGCCTCGATCTCAGGTTTTATTACACATTAAGAACTTATTTTGTCATGTGCTTTGCTTTCCCCTAGTCCTCCCTAATGTTTTACTTATTAAATTTGCAGATAGATATATATGTCCAAGTTCTCCAAGCAGATGGAGGTAACTAAGACTTGATAATGGGATCTTGTGATTCTCTTCTGTCATTGCCATTTTATTTTCTCTCTTTACTCATTTAATATGTACATTAATTTTGGGTGATGTTGACATGTCTTTTAGCATGCTTTCATAATAATGATAGTAGTAAATTTCTGATTAAACTTTGAAGGTTCACAATCTCAACCAGCCTTTACATAGTGGCACGTTATAAGACCCTAGAAATTTCTCTGCAAATTCTCTGTCACATCACCATTAATACGCACTCCACGTCACTGCTACGGGTAATTAAAAACCCACTCCCAACTCTGAATTTTTCATCTCTCTGTTGTGCACGGAAAGCCGAGCCACATCATTCCTCTGAAACATTAAAAACGCACCAAACTGTGCATGCACACACGCCACTTGTCACGTTGGAAGCTTCCAATTCAGAGTTTGGTGTGCAGGTGTCAGCTTGGGAGACGTTCGTTCAAACGAACGTGAGTTTAAACAAAACTAGATTTTCGAAAACTCTTTCTCTCCCCTGCACCACTCATCTTCTACCTCTGAACTTAACTTTTCATCTTCTCCAACCTCTCTCTAGAAACCTTAAAACTTCTCTCTACTGTTACTCATTCATCTCTTCTCCGTTTAACATTCAGAACCGTAGGAACGATCCTTACGCTGTGAGCTTCATTTTGGACCGAACCAATCTCAGTTCTGAAAACGGTAAGTCTCCCAACTTAGGTATCGTTTCTGGATATTCGTTTCTACATTCCTTTGGCTAGATTTAGTGGAAGAAACTTAAGTGGAATTTAGTGAGTGAACCTTGGAGTAGAACGCTGTTAGAGGAAGCACCATAAACTTGCATTAGGGCGAACACTGCTATCCAGGTAAGGGAAGCTTATATGTTTAATTTATACTTGCATGTTGTATGATATGATTTGGATGTATAAAACGTATGCTGATTGATCTGTCATGAACGAGCACTGCTTGTATGAATTATATATGTTTTTTGGTGGTTTGAAATGCATGTTAATTTGGATATGTATGAACGGAGTATGACTATTGTATAGTTGGAATGATTAAATGATAGATCTGTATGATGATGTTTAAGTGAATTAATTTGGAAATGGAAGTTATAAAGTTTATATTTGAAAATGATATGAAGTATACAGTATGAATTGAAATGTTGAAATCTGGAAATCTGTTAGGGTTGAAAAACCTGAAACTTAAATCATTCCCTATGATAAATGACGATCGTCACCGTACGTCTTAGACCGTTCGGTTTTCCTTAAAATAACTTAGAATGGAATTCTTTCATTTGGAAAGAACTCTGCTCGAGAACGAGCGTCCCTATGTGTCTGAGCGTTCGGTTCAGCTCAGTCGTACATAAATGTGTTAAAATTTTAAATACGTAGCGCTCTTTATATTGAGCGTTCGTCCTAAATAGCGCTCGGTCTTATACCGAAGCGTTCGTCCTAAATAGCGCTCGGTTTATACACCAAGCGTTCGTCATACTTGGTGCTCGGTCATTTACCTAGCGTTCGCTTTAATGAAGTGTTCGGTCTTAGATTGAACGCTCGTCCTTATCTTTGATTCCTTAACGAATGTAAATAGCGTTCGTCCAAATACTTAGTAAATGGATGTTGGCGCGTTCGGTTATTGACTGGCAGCCAATCCCTTTCAAATAAAAGGTTCCCTATATAGTTAAGTATTCTCCTGGATGTCTCTTCATCCAAGTTGAGTTAATTTGATCTATTGGTATTTAAAAATATTCTGGAGTTGGCTTTATTATTCTGAAGTCTTTATGGTTTTAAAGGAGTTTCTTTTAAATCTGGCTTTTAACGTTCGTCCTCTTCCTTCAGAAAGTTGAACGTTCGTCTTTTTCAGAGAGTGGAACATAGAATGAAAATGTTAAAAATATAAAATGTTAAGACGTTCGAACACTATATTAAATGGTTATACGATTGTGGAATTTGAACGAGCGTTCCAAGGAGGAACGTCTCAGATGAGTTAAATATTAAATTTGGTAAAGTATGAACATGGATAAGTTAAGACTCGCTGTCCATCCTGATATTCCGTGATACTCATCTTCACGTAGAAGGGGGGTAGTCATGTGTGGGAATGGCAGGAGGTCCTTAGTTCATCACTTAGCATGGGCGAAGGATTAACCTCGAGTGGCAGCTGATTAGGTATATCCCGGCTACTACACCACTCGGGTGCAAGGACGCTTGTAACTACATGGTTCATACAGTCCGGACGGTCTGTCATATATATATACATATCTCTATGTTATTCTATATTAAGTTACCTGATGTATGTGTGAATTGATGTGTTAAATGTATGTGTTAATTGTATGAATAAATAATATAAGCTTACCCTTGCATTTTCCATTGTGTTGTCTCCTGTCTATGTACGTTCGTCTTGTCTTGCAATGATCATCCGTGTGGATGTGAGCAGATGGTGGTGCATCTCTTGAAGAAATGCTGAAGAAGAAATTTGGAAGATGCAAATCTGGTTGAAGTGGAAGTAAAGGCCGAGCCTTAGAGCGCTCGTTAGATTAGGAATGTGAATATTAGCTTAGTTGGACGTTCGGTTAAATATTTTGTAAAGTCGTTCGTCCTAATTACCTCTGATTCTGTTTTGGCGCGTACGTTATTTTTAGTTAGCTGTTCGTTCTAGGCTTCATTTGTATGCGTTTATGCGCGTTTCTTTTGTACTGAAGCCGTTCGGCTTCTGGAACATCTTTTCTGTATAATAAAGACTGCATTGTTTACTGTTAATTGTAATTAATTTCTGTAATATGGTAATTCACGCTTTTATGGGGCACACGTGTTCGAAACAAATTTAACTCCATAATATCAATCTAAGAATGGGAGCAATAAACTGACTGATAAACTGTCATTGGAAAAAATCTATGCCAGCCCCACCAAATGAAGTTACCCCCCCTCTCTGTTTTGTGGACCATACATGAATTTCATCCTATAATAAGGTGGCGGAAAGAATATATCAACTATATTTCTTCAGTCAAAATTTAAAGTATCAACAAAAGATCTGCAACTAAAAAAGTAAAAGATGCTGAACTGGAATTCCAAATAAAGAGTTACCAAGTATGATACTAGTGAAAATTAAGTTACACTTGATCAAACATTAACTCAGACTAAAAAGAAGATTTGTCATGACATAACTCCATCAAGGGTACAACACAAATCACTCTATCAGGAACCTTCGTAAGAAGTATCTGTTGATTAAAAAACAACTGATATTTGAAAAAAGATTCATGTGTACAGCAAACTATTAAGTTGTTAAATCTGAGGCGAGCTTAGATAAGCTTCTTTTGGGGATTTCCGAACATGCACCTATTCCCTCGAGTAATCAAGGGTTAAAACTCTACTGTTCTCTCCAAAATCTCTAATAACAAGAACAGTTTTTGAAGGAAGAGGAATTACAGCTTCAACACCACCAGACTCTTTACTACGTGAGTACCAATGACTGAGAGAGCAATAAAAAGTTTTCCTTTCTGTTGAACTAATTTACCTGGTTGACTACACAATAGATACAGAGAAAATAACAAGACATGAATTAACCTGAAGCAGTGTTACTTTATCCAACTTTGGCAGAATTCCTAGGGTTACATCAGGACCTCCAGCACTGTCTTCTACAAGTTCAAATCTGTACACATTCAGAAACCTTTAATAATTAGGGCAGCCCGTGCATCAGAAGTAGACAGAAACAAAACAGACATACCACACTTGTATTTAGCCAGTTCAAATTTAGAGTAAAAACAGATATTACCAAGCAGACTTGTGCTGTTAAGGTATCCGGCACTGCAGGATGTTACAAGATCACGCATAGGGATCCCAGCATCGGCAAGGGCCAAAGTTGCAGCATTTATACAAGCAGATCTAGTTCCTANCTAAATATTTTAACTCAAATTAACTATTCAAGAACTAGTATGATATGGAGTTAATATATATATATATATATATATATATATATATATATATATATATATATATATATTTTATAATTAAGGAACCAATTTAAATGTTTCAACTTTAAAATCAGAATAACGGAAAGCATTAATATAATATATTTAGTTATGAACGTTATCAATTTAAGAATGCCATATGCTGATTTTATAAATGTTACGTGGTAATATACGAATATACCAATAAATATAAACTAGATCACTAAAAAATGTCAATTAAAAGATAATAAAATGTTGGAAAATAAATGACAGACATATTAATTAAACATTGAGTATAAAAATCATTATTGTTTTTAGAAGTAGGTTAATTTTATATTATTTAATTATTTTCGATTATAGGGTAAAGCAGCTTCTCAAATTGATTAATGTGATGTAATGTAATGTATATAAACATTATTTGTTGGAATATTTTAAATATTTGTTGGACTCTATTACTCTCTCTATATATATTATTTAATAATTTTACAATAAAGTTATCGTATTTTAAACTAAGAGAAATTGACATTTGAAAATGTAAACTGCAATTTGAAAATAAATTTAATTTAAATTATAATAAAATATCTGTAATAATAGTTATAAAATGTTTTAATTATATTAACTGCTATAATTATATCATGATTTTTTTTATTCTTACAGATGATTATTAATAATAAAAACTAAAACATTGGTTAACACACATAAAATCACTATAACATTATGTTAAATTGTTATAGATTATAATTCATATATATGACATCAGAAATAGAAATTCTGAACTCTCATTGGCCAACATGCGTGGTGACACATCACAATGACACGTGTTCTTAATTTCCTTCTAACCTCGAAGCATCTAGATTTTCTCTCCCGCGAACTCTGTTTATAAAGCAAAACGTCACTGTGATCTCAGGCTATTCATGAAGTTCCCGTTTTTTATTTCAAATTTCCTCTGCGAAGTATTTGGATTCGGATATGAGGACCCGTTTAGTCTCCACGCGGGTCATCATCGTGGCCTCTCTTTGTTTCCTAGCAAGCATGAAATTGGAAGCCAAAACCGTCGACCCCTACAAGGTTACAAAAAGTTATTTTGTTGTGGGATTTGTGAATTTGTGGTCGAAATGTGTTGAATTTGGGCAATTTCAAATGAATTATTGGTAGGCTAGTTGCATTTTCGTTACGGTCTGTGGAATTTGATGACCAGCTTAACTTTTTGTTGTTGCTTTGAATGCTCAATTTCGGTTCTTTCTAAAATTGAGAAATTTGGGTGTTTAGATTAGGGATTTGGGTAACCTTATTCTTTTTCTTGCTTGAATTACGTGGCCCGAGTTTGTTTTTTTTTCTTGGCTTCATCGTATCAAGCAAAGTGTTGTGTCCTTCAATTGAAGGATACTCATTTGCAATTATCTGTCTTTACTTGTTGCTAAAGCCTGAATGAGAAAAAGGTGTTTTGTTTATATGTTTAAAGTCGTCATTGTTCAAAAATCGAGACGGAGAAAGAAAAGAGGAATTTCTTTTATGTATTTATTTAATTTTGAGAGCATGACCTGATAATACCCGCTTCAATTGTTCAGGTTCTTGGGGTCGATAAGAATGCAAGTCAGCGGGAAATTCAGAAGGCTTTCCACAAGTATGTATACTTGGTGCTCTTGTTTTTTTACATTTTCTCAAATAGATTCAGTCTCTTGTAACTTATTTTACATATTGGCGTGACTCTTATTTTATTTTTTAGGTTGTCTCTCCAGTATCACCCTGACAAGAACAAAGCCAAGAGTGCGCAAGAGAAGTTTGCTCAGATCAATAATGGTATAGATTTTTTTTTTTCTCTTTTCACACATTTACTCGCCCGACATGCGCACACACACACACGAGCTCATGTTTACTGGAACAAAGAGTTGATACTGTAATAAATTATAAAAGTAATGACAGGCTGTTTTTGTGCTAGCTTTCTACATTTACCTTGTTTGAGGATTCTCATATGTTCCTTTCTTTCATTTAACAGCCTATGACATTTTATCTGATGAAGAGAAGAGAAAGAATTATGACATGTATGGAGATGTAAATGGTAATCCTGGATTTCCTGGTGGCCATCCTGGATTTCAAGGTGGCCATCCTGGATTTCAAGGTGGTCATCCCGGAGGTCGTGGTGGATATACTTACTTTACAGAGGGTGGTCCTGGACAAAGCCATTTTAACTTCAAATCAGGGGGAGATTGGCAAGGAGGATCTAAGTCATTCTCCTTTTCCTCTGGTGGCTCGGGTGGTTCCAATTCTTTTGGGTTTGGCTTGGATGATATTTTTGGCAGTATTTTTGGTGGTGGAGGTGCTGGGAGTCAGTTTGGTGGTTTTGGCAGTTCAGCTAATACTGAAGGGACGTCCACAGCTTCTCCCCAACGTCTCACATCTATAAATTCACGTATCTACAAGAAAGAGATAGAAAATGCAGGGATGACTTGGATTTTGTTGTCTTATAGACCTAAAAGTGCATCGAAGAATATCCAATACTTTGAGTCCACTGTAGAGGAGGTTGCCAGTACATTACAGGGAGCTGTGAAGGTTATTACTTAACTTTTAATTGGCCTGGATATATTTTTGGTACTTGCAGACCTGACTACGTTTGGTTGTAGTTTAAGAAATATTTTGTTAGTTTTGTTCCTCATTAATTTTTAAAACTTTTGAAAATGATTGGAATCACCTTACAGTGTTGGCTTGGCATGCCTATGTACACATGTTGAGTCAGCAATAATTTTCAGATAACTTATCTAGATATGACATCCAAGTGTGTGTCACGTAGTGATGATGATGATGATTCAAATTAACAGAAAAAACTTTTGGAGGTCTAAAGTCACGTTTAGCCATGATCCTATTTTATTGATTGTTTGAAGTTATCATGGCTATATCTCTATTTTGTGTGACAGGTTGGAAGCATTAACTGTGATAAGGAAGTCTCGTGTGTAAGAGATTGGCATGTATCCACAAAATGCTCCTAGAATTTTTGTTTTTTCTTACGAGAATGAAATAGGTTCTTTGGTGGAGTACAGTGGACACTTGGCTGCTAAGAATTTGAAGGCTTTCGTTCAAGAACACTTGCCAAGGTTTTCCAAGCGAACCAACTTGAATAATCTAGACCAGTTTAGCACTACGGCAAAGTTGCCTAGGGTGCTGCTTCTCTCCACCAAGAAGGACACTCCAGTAATTTGGGCGTGTTCTTAGTGGCTTGTTTCACAAACGCATTATTTCAGTGATGCACAGGTGTGTGAATGCTGGACGCCAAACACATTATTTTCCTCTGTTGATTTCCTTCTTTACGTATGGGGAAAGTCATATACTTTGAATGTTAAGATTTAATGTATATATTGAATGATTTGTAGGTGGACGATGTTTCTGATCTAAGAATAAAAATCTAGGAGTTGATGCACTTCCATCAATTGTTGGTTGGCTACCTAATGGAGAGAAACGTGTTCTGAAAACTGGGATTTCTGTAAAAGATTTAAAATCTGCAGTTCTCGATCTTAGTAAAATACTGATAGTTTTGTAGAGGCAGTAAAAAGGAAGCATCAGCTCAGGCCAAGAAGGCAAAATCATGATCCAGACGACGGACGCATACCATTGCTTTCTCAATCCAACTTTGAGGCTCTCTGTGGTGCTAAAGCTCCTGTCTGCATAATTGGCGCCTTCAGATCTTCTAAAGCCAGAGAAAAGCTAGAATCAATCCTCTCTTTGGTTAGAATGCATTTCATTCACTTACTAGTTTAATGGGGTTATGTAATGTTTTGTTTTTCTGAAAGGAAGCACTATGCAAATTTTCAGGTCTCTAAAAAATCTTTGTCAAGAAGACCAAATGGTGGGAGCAGCAGCTCTAGGGACTCCATTTCTTATGCTTTATTAGATGCTGCAAAGCATCAGTCATTTCTAAAGGCATTTGACAAAACAGGTTATAAATCATCAGATAAGTTGTTGATTGCTTACAAACCTCGTAGAGGAAAGTACAGTGTATTTAGGGATGAAATGACAATAGAGGAGGTAGAGAATTTCGTTGCCTCCGTTCTCAGTGGAGATATACCCTTCAGAGAAACGAGTGGGAAGGCTGTACTAGAGCATTAGGTCATGAAACTGGGTTTGCAATGTTTTGGCTGCATGCTCATGTACATAGTCAAAGAGTTAGTTATATAGAATCTTGTTTTTTTATACAAGCAAGAGTACAAATGAAGTAATATAACTAAATAGGATATTGTTCCATGTTTGTTTGTTCCTGTTATTAACCAGCTTTAAAACCGTGGATGATGTGGAGTTTTTCTATCCCCACAATCATTCTTTCTGACCAATTATTTCCTGGACCTAAGATTTCTCTCCTACCCTTTCTACACTCATTTTTTTTCTGATTGATTAATCAGAAAATAAAACAACATTTGATATAAGAGGGCCCCTATTTTTTTTAAATAATTCGATATTTTTATTTGATATCAATAAGAGTTTTAGGAATAATTAATAGTAATTGAATGATGTACTTTTAACACATTTTATTATTAGTTAAATTTTATTCAAACTTTAAATAAAAATGTACAATTATTTTAATTATTAAAAATAAAAAATATTTGAAAAGCGCATGTCAGCATTGCTAGCATTTTTATCAAATCCTAATTATTTGAAGCTATTTACTCCTCAATCATTTATAAAAATTTAATTAGTTAATTTGAGTTAAAATATTTAGAAGGTATAGATATTGTAATAGATGGTTGTAATGGTTTATTTTGAACTTATTGAAATGAGTAGAATCCTTGAATCGAGAATCTCAGAACTACTAGGATCAGTTTCAAGTTTAAATTTGTTAACGATGTTAAATGAATGGGTGTTACTCCCTTTACCATCACATTTTCTCCCTCTACCTCCCCAATTTTATTATATATTTTTTGAATTACAAAACTAACCTTTTATAATTACAAAAATAACCTTTTTACTTTTTAATCCTAATTATTTACTTTAACCCTAAAATCTATCTTTCTACCCCTTCTCACCCACCTCCCAACCCTCTCAGATTCTCACCCAAACTCCATCACACCTGTTTTTCATCTTCCATCTTTCCTCCATATCCATTATTCAAAAATAATATATAAAAAAA